TGTGATCCTGCATGGGACCTACATAAGAGCAGTTTGTGAAAAACTGCAGCCTGTTGGAAGGCCTCATATTGGAGACGTTTGTGGAGGACTGGCTTCCAGGGGAGGGACCCCGTGCTGGAGAAGGGGAAGGGTGTGAGGAACCCTACCCTTGAGGAGAAAGGAAAGGGAGAGAAAACATGTCATGAACTGATCACAACCCCCATTCCCTGTCCCCCTGCGCCACTGAGGGCCAGGAGGTAGAGGAAATCAGGAGTAAAGTTAAGCCAGGAAAAAAGGAAGGGGTGGGGAAAGGTTTTTTAAGATTTCATATTATTTCTCATTACCCTACTCTGATTTGATTGCTAATAAATTAAGTCAAGTCTGGTTTGCCCATGATGGTAATTGGTATATGATCTTTCCCTGTCTTTATCTCGACCCATAGCTCTTTTATAATATTTTTCTCTTCCTTGAGGAGGGGAGTGATAGAGCAGGTTTTGTGGACACATGGTGTCCAGCCAGGGTCAACCCACCACAAATAGATGATGTGTAAACCTTGACTATACGATCTGTATTAAATTTAGTTTAATTTTGGGGATTTTATGATTAATTTTAAGATTGAATTTAGATTAATCTTGATGACCTTGTTAGTTAGTAGAGCTTTAATTTATTTTCTGAGAGTTCAGTGCAGGATATTAATCTTTCTTTTTATAATGAACATTTAAGATTCATTATCTTTTATAAATGAAAATGGACATGTAGGCAGGAAATTTTTTGAGGCTAGTATGATTGATCACTTATCTTTTAGAAGGACATTGAAGAGGAATGTGTGAGTTCTAGGTCTGTTTAATCTGAACAGCATTTAACCTAGTGAAGAACTGTTAAACCTAGTGAAGCTTGTGGGAAAAGATAATGGATACAGTGAATTGTTGATTTGCTTGGCTTCTGTGGAATGTAAATGTTTCCCAGATACTTCCTTGGCAACTGAACAAAGTTGATGGACCCAAAATACAATTAGCAGTTGGACAAAATAGTCATTTAAAATTCTTTCTGTCTTCCTAGCTTACCATTCCAGCTCTTGATGGGGCATTTGTTTCTGACTGACTACCTGATTTTTCTTTTTGTTTGTCTTCGATTGTTGAGATGACTTGATGGCTGCTGCCACCACTGCAGATTTGGAAAGTCATGGCTCTGGTTGATGCTGCCACATCTGGCTCTTCTGGGCCGTATCCTGATGGCAGTGTCACTTGAAAGGAGGAGGTGCTGCTGGCTGCCTTGCATCCCAGTCCTTAGGCTTACATCAGGCTTCTGAGGTCAGACCAGTCTGGTGTATTGCTGCTTCTGCCACCTTTTTCAGAAAAATGATATTAGAAATCTAAGGTAAATGTGGATTTAGGGAGTGCAAGCTCTAAGAGCATTTGAATGTCAGCAGTGTGTGCTTCCAGCCAGGAGATTGAGCAGAGGTGCACAAATCACTGTGGGGTGATGTGTGTGTTGGTAGGTATGCATAAATTCAAGTAACAGGGTAATATTGAAGATAAATTTCAGGTTACACATCAGCTGTAGCTAAAGGAATGGGGTGGTGATATGCAATGGAACAGTGGTTGGTAGTGAAGTACCTTTTTATAGAGTTTTTGGGGATATTAGAAATGGCTTAGTAGGAGATACCTACCTAACTTGTCATTTGTACTATATTAGCAGACTGTTGTCAAAACGCTGGGCAACAAATATGAGTGGGTATTTGAGTTCAGTTGCTGAACTTCGCTGGGAGGTAGTAAACGTTCATCAAGCTGATCCACTTTCTTCTCTGAACAGCACTGTTACATTATTGCGGAGAGTGGCCCAGTAGCTGAATTAGGTGCTAATAAGTCCTGACCTACAGTGTACTTTTGTCACATGTGATTTTATGTTTGAGTGGTTCAAGATTGATTTAAAATGTATATGGTTTTGAACAAATGACTGGGAACAAAATATATCACTGCAGGTTTTGCTCACCCACCATCTCTTCTCCTTGTGTTTTCCACACAGCATGTTACACTACATTTGTCTCTTAGTGCCTGGAGTTACCGGAATAGCACTCAGGCAATTGGCTGCTAAAACAGAGAAAGGGGTGTCTGAATTTGCTCATGGTTTAAGTCATAAGGAGTAGTCTGCAGAGGGTTTAAAATGCTTGGTTTGACTTGTGTTATACTGGATAAATCACTACAGCATTGACTGTTACCTTACTTGACTTGGAATGTCTTGGTATGTTGGTAAGAGGAGGTAGTGTGCTTCATGAGAGGAAGCCGTTGGTTTAAGCAGTTGTTACAGGGTCGATTTTGTAGTGGGTTGATAATCTGTACTGATAAACTTTGCTCATGTGTGTGTGATAAATGCACACTTTGCTTGTTCTGTGGATGCAGCCATGATGTGCACACACGGGGGTTTGAATTGCTTGCTGTGTATTAACAGGCACATTGTTATTGCTAATCAGAACCCTGATAACTAAAATTAATAGTGGGTACAAAGACAAGCAATTAAGGACATTCATCTTCCAGATGAGTCTAAAAGATTCATTGGTAGTTTAAATTTATATACTGAGGGCACTTAAACCATTAAAAAGGGTAATGGGTGCCCTGCAGGCATGTGCTTCAAAGCCATATGTCATTTTGGTGCTGGGACATCAGACTGATAACTTCCCTTTAAGGGAAACTGCTATTCATTTATCAATTAAATGTTGAAGGAAAAGTACATTTTTTGCTGTAAAGTGATCATAGAAGTGTATCGTAAGCTAAATCAAAACCCAAGATTTATGTTCAAAGCCTTTTGAGCTTTATCATAATATATGTTAATTAGAAAAGTCTCTCAGTGGTAACAGAGGGCACTGGAGTTGAAACTTTGAAAAGTATAAATGTTTCTTTGAAGCACAAATATTTCTCTTCCTGTGCCTTGCAGTCTTTGACAGTGATGTAGTAACCAACTTAGTACAGAACATGAAATGCTGGGGTTTTTTCTGCTGTTGCTGTTGATGCTATGCTTATGTTGTCACAAGGTGATGTTTGAGCAAGTTTTTTAACATAGAGATGAAAATAAAATTTTAAGGTTTTACAGTACAAGGTTTAGCATGAATTTTGCTACAGTGTAGAATTTTCATTCTGTCCTGATGTTGTCCTTGCCAGCTGAAGCAGTGGTTAACATGTAGTTCTGGGAGTGCCTGGGAATGTATCTGGCAATGGTTTTTGGTGATGCAGGGATTAGCTAGAACTTGGTTGTGTCATTCATTCAAAATAACAAAAACTTTTGCAGATTTCTGTGAACTATCTGAGTTGTCCCTAACTGAAGATGAAACAATCTCAGTGTGGGACACAGTATAGATTTGCTTATGAAATTTAGGAAATTTCCCCTTCCCTAAATACGAACACTGTTTGTACAAACTCTCTTCCTGTTACGAGATATTTGAATATTCTGCTTTGGACAGGTTAAAATTATTTTTATTCTCAATTTGGTGACGTACATGCCCATTCCTCCTTTCCTTTTTCTCTGGCCTTTCTGAGTTCCAGACCGTATATGTCTTGTACAGAGGGCAGAAATGAGCATAGACTGTAGTTCCTGATGGCCCTCAATCTCCCCTTTCCCACCTCCAGTCTATTTGCCTCCAGACTGTAGTGTGAGCTGGTGAGAGCCTGGCAAGCATGGGAGGGGGTTGGTGGCTGGTGCCATGGTGGTGACTCCTCTTATGGGGACACTAGAATTTATTGTAATAAGGGGGTTTTGTTTGTTCTTGGATCTCACCGTACTTGTCCCATATTTTGTATTAAAAATTTAGACAACAAAGTCAATGCAAATGCCCCTATTATTCTAGAAGTGTCTTAACAAAATCAACTGTTGTTGTGGCTAGAGTTGTTAGTTGGGTTTATATGCTCGAAGTACTGAGGACAGGGAGAAGATGCAAGAAATATCCCACCTGATTTCCAAGAATTCTCTATAATCTAATTCTTGAGTTATTATATAACTGCTTTCTGGATTAAAAAATACTGCCTAAATAATGATGAATGCACTGTGTTTTCTCTTTCACTCTCTCCTGCTACTGCCTTTTGTTTTTGAGCAGGAGGAGAAAACTCGAGGGCTTTGTGCCATGCATATAGAGATAACAGCTGCTGCAGAATTGTATGCATGATATCTGTATTTTCTCGCCTTTATTGTCTGCTCTTTCTTTGACCAGGCTCTTTTGATTCCTTTGTTTCTTACTTCTCAAACCTTGATCTGTTTCTGTGATCATCGTACTTTCTTCTCTCTTTTCCCCAACCTACTTAATGGCCTTGAGTTAAGAATGCAATAAAAAACTTACTGAATGAGACAGAGCAGACATTACTGTGTTACATGGGAATTCTGGATTTTTTTCCTCCCATCGTTTACATTCCTCCCATTCTTCTTTCTTCCTGTCACTTCTCTTCTCAGCTTTTGTTGTAAGGTTTTCATATCCATTGTTTGTGTGACCCTGAAAAAATGCTTTGTTCTGTTATGCTAGACTGATTTAGTAAAGCAAGATCTCCATTCTGCACAAATTATTACATTTCTAAGTAAATTTTAATTATTTTGTCTGACTGTTTTGGGGACAATATTTATCCTTGTTGCTGGTGTTTGGACTGCTTATACTTTCAATGCTTCAGAATTTTTGATTTTCATCTATCATTTTTGAGCCTGGTCCATTATTTTCAGTTTCCCCTGTGGTTTATATAATGTGTTGCTTTTTGTCACACAGGCATTAGGGTAGATTTCAGTTGGATTGGTGACTTCAGGCTGTGATCTGCCCTGACAGAAGGTGCTCTTGAGGGAAATTGGTTACATGAGGTAGTGATGTTTTTACAAAAGAGAGAAGAACACTGATGGATCAGCTGCTTGCAGTTTTTAGCTTTGCACAGGCAAGCCTGTGAACTGTGGCACAGTCTGAGCGGACACTGTAGTTGTGGTGGATCTTGGAGGAACACCTCTGGTTGACTCTTGGAAGATCTCTGCTTTTAAGTAAACTAATAACAAGTTTCTTCTCTAGGGGGATGCACGTTCGATGATGGTCCTGGGCCCTGTGACTACCACCAAGACTTGTACGATGATTTCGACTGGGTACATGTCAGTGCTCAAGAGCCTCACTATTTGCCACCTGAGATGCCTCAAGGTGAGAAACCCCACAGATACTGAAGGGATAAGTTACTTAAGAAAGTACTTAAGTGCTCGGAGCCTCACTGAATATGGCCTTGAGGCCATTCTCTGTGATATCCACTTGAACCTTGATAATGGAGGTAATAAAAAAAAAACAAAGATAATAAATATAACAGTCTTTGTAATTGAGAAGCCTTCTTAGATCAAGTCCCCCTTTAAAGTTTGGGGGACATGGGGAAGGGAAGAAAGAAACCACATCCATCTCTTTTTGTTCTGTGTGGAATTCCCATTGATGCACAGTCAAACTCTACTTTTTATATGACAGCTAAGATATCAATTCAATTATTCAGGTAAGCATTAGAATAAATGCAGGAAAAAGGAATACACTTTTCCTTTCTTCCCTTCCCCCAACCCTTATCATCTGAAGGTAATCAGAAAAGCTTTGATTTATGGAAATATTGCTGTTGTTAATTACTATTTAGGACAGGTAATGAATAACTGAAGAGGTGCAGTCTACATGACCTTGCCTGCTCACCTTTGATGAACAGCTTAATCGGCGCTTCCCAGACAGCATGATATGCTGAGAGAATGAAAGCATTTGAAATTCAGCTACATTTTCCAATTAATAATACATTAAGTAATTAATCATGCAGAGGAGGAAAAAAGGTCATGGCTATTTTATTTGTATCTAAAAGGTTTTGTGAAGTGAGGTACATGTGGAGAAGGAGTGGGAAGTGTTGCCACACAGAAGTAACCTCACCTCTGCACCATTCCTTCCCCTGTTTTTTATGTATTGTTGTGTATTATTAATGGTGGTTGTTCTGTGAAATTTTACTTCTTAGCTGCTGACTAGGTGGGTTCTCCCTGCTTTGGAGTCACTGATACTCCAGTGACAGCAGCTGTTACCATGCCCAATATCTTGCAAAATATGTTCACTGAACAAGATCCGCACTTATTTAATGGTCTTCTTGGTGCTTCAGGTTTGCATAAGCAAGAATAAATTTAAAGCCTGAAGCCTCAGCATTTGTGATGGTCTTATATTAAAAAAATCAAAACAGTATCTCCGCTGGGAAGGCTGAAACTAGTTACTTTTCAGGTTGCATTTTTCAGAGCCTACGTGGTTTTTCTAAAGGTTGGAGGTATCTTAATTGTGATGGAAGCACCATTTTGTAAAAAAAAAAAGTAATTTGGTATTCTCAGTCCTTAGACACACCTTGTATAGGAAGAAGAGCAATTTGAGGGATTGTAATTTGTATGAATCTAAATGACAAGATAGTTTCTTCTTGCTTATCCCAAATAACATACCTGTCATCCTTAGGCAGTTTTCAGAGTTAAATGACACAGTGCTCTCTGGCATGTGGTTTCTGTTCAGTTCTGCTACAGATTCTTTTTCTCAGAGTGTACCATGTGAACTCTTTCAGAGGAAGTTCTTTTCTCACATCTGTATGTGAAATTGTGGGTACTCAATAAAATCTAGCAGAATAATGGAATGTTTCAGAGGTAGTCCAAAACAGATACAGAAGAAGCTCTGATGATTATTTTTTTTTTCCTCTGGTTAGAATGCTAGATTTCTTGTACCACTGTTGATAAGTTTGGTCTTCGGTATCTGAGATCCAGACTAAAACTGAGCAGTCTCATCTGGCAAGCTGCCTTTAAGAAGTTCACAGTTCCCAGATTCTGAAGATCTATGCCATATCTAAATATTTAAGTTCATTTGTGTTTGAAATAGCATGGCTTTAAATTAAGTCTAAAAAGGTAACATGGTTCTAAAATGAGTGCTGAATTCCTTCAGTGGGTCTGCAGGAAGTGGAACAGCAAGAGGTTCAGGCAAAAGCAGAAGGGAAATAAGTGTGTGCAGTCATCTGCTGTGCAGTGTTCTAACATTGCTGACGCTTCCTGATTACTGTTGAAACTGTAGGTTCAAACGGATTCTACTGCTCATGAAGAAGTTATCCGAGTAGAATAAGATGTGGAATGAAGGTATAGGTGAAATTATAGGTATAGTATTATAGGTATAGGTAAAATTAAACTACTACTTTTTCACTTTGAAAAATGCTGTGTTTTATAACCTGTAGAAGCCAGTAATCTTCTAGGGACCACTTTTTCAGTCACTGAATGAGAGCAGAGAAAGAAAGGGGTACCCAGAAAAACTAAGCAGCAAGGAAACTGAAGTCCGTGGGTAGGGACTGTTTTCTTTGCACCTCATCCTTTCAGGCTCTATAATACTTCAGCTAGGCACAAAGCTCCTTAATGCATGTGCTGGTGTTCTCTCCATGGACACCCTTCATAGTGTTTGGAGCCTTTGTCTTTTACATCTCTTTGGAATACAATGCAGTGGGGGCTTCTGGTATAGATTAGTCTCGAGAGGAGCACTGTTTTGCCACTGTGATAGAAAGATAATACCAGTAGAGTGAGTATGCTACTTTCAGGGCTCTAACTTTACCAGATTCACACAGAAGCATTGTAGTTATAAAGGATTATACTCAATTTTCAAATGTCAATTTTCAGTCTTCAGTACATTCAGAAAGTCTTATTAAAAAACCCCAAACCCAAACAACAAAAGACCCCAGAATAAAAACAGTGTGAGAGAAAAGGACATATAAAAGAAAATAGGAAAAGGGAAAAAAATGAAAATTGTTAATGTTTTAGCAAGTGCTAAATTGACAAGTGCTAATGTTTTACTTTTGATTCAAGGAGGGATAGTGGTTTAAATCAATGTTGTACTTTGGAGAGGGATGATAAATCATTGGAAATTTCAGACCTAATGGCATGTGTTTCAGAGTGCTATGAAAATATGAAAACTTGTCCTAATGGAAAACATTTTGCAGGTGTAGCAGTAGTAAATGCTATTGGAAAAGCAAGTGTAATTACCTCTGAGTAATTAATGCAACTTCAGATTTTTTTTTAGACTGACCTACATGGTATTTCTCAAGTTGTGAGCTGAGGCAAAAGCCACTTATCTTCTGTTACGGGAAAAATAAATGTAGTACATAGTGATTAATTTGAAAATAAAATGAACACTCAGAGCAGGTGCTTGTGTACAGCTTTAATACCAACTTGTAAATTGTCTGAACTGCAGCTTACACTATAAAACCTTTGGATTACTTACTAAGACCTTGGAAACCACCTGATGTCCAACATTAGTTTTCTAAGAGCATATAAAAGTGACCATGCTAGATCAAGCTAAAGGTCTGCTGCTTTTGAGTATAGTCATTAGCAGTTGCCTAGGGAGAGTGCAAAGGTAGGACAAGTGAGTACTGATCATGCCCTGACTGCTCTCCTACTTCCCAACTGTTTGGCATTTAGGAATGTTCTCAACTAGAAACAGGCTTTATTATAAGTGATATTCTCAATGTCCTGTCAGTTTTGTCTTACTGTGTGTGGTTTCCTTGAAGCCTTCTTGTATCTGCTGTGTCATAAAACAGAGTGCCAGGTTTTGTTATGAAACATGGGGAGATGCAGCTCTTCTTACTTGTTTTGAACTTGCACATGACTTCTGTTTGATGCATGTTGGCTTCTTGGAAGGAAGTGAGCAAAACTGAGTGCAAACTGTCTTCTCCAACCCATTCAGATTTGTTTAAATACCTTTTAAATAAAAAACGCACCCTTCTGCGGGCATCGTTCAAACTCGAATGGTCCAAGATGATTGAGTTGTTCCCTATGTGGAAGTGGTTCCACAACTGTGGATTTGCATTTTGTGTGAGGCAAGGTTGGTAACCAAATGTTACATTTTTATAGACATGACGACAAAAATGAAGTCCAAGCATTTAACTGGTGGTCTTTGTACCTCTAAAATAAAACATTTTCCAGATATTGAAGCTAACCCTTTAAAGCATGTATTATGTTTTCATGCGTATGATTTTTATACATTATACTATACAAGATAGAAATTAGAGAATGCTATTAAGATGAAATCCAATTTTGTTTATGGATATTTTTAAGTTATTTTAGGGGATTATTCATGGTGCGCGGATAACTTAATTTTGCAGAAGACAAAGGAAATAATAGTACTTTCTTATACCACTGGGGATGTGCAAAGGGGGATTTTATCCATATTATTAATATGTTTACTGATGGTTTTACCCTTAGAGAAGATAGTTTATTTACTCAGTTTGGTTTGCCTGTTAAAAGCAACATTATTCTGAGGCTATGCAAGGTCAGGGCATGAGAGCCTGTAATAGGCTGTATGATGAGGAACCACTTAATGAAGGATTTTTTTAATGTAAGGACTATTACCCTCCTGGTTACCAATGCATTTTGAAGAATGTCTAAATTACAGTGGAGAGTACTGACATGCTGAGATGGACATCTTGTTTCTGATCTCTCGGATAATGTACCTGAACTGGATGTGTGCTATTTTTTTTTTTAATGGTTTTCTAGAAATCTGAGGAAACTAAATTTCCAGGAGTGGGGAAAGTTCTTAGGTGCACTTGTCATCTAGCATGACTAAAGGGGAACAGATTAAATCTTGAAAGATATTCCTTAGTATTATGGTGTTTTGCAAATGCAAACTTTATTTACAGTGAAGAGTATTGCAGAAATAATTTTCTACTTTGCAGAAATTACACATGACCTTACATGCTGCCCTATTAAAGAATAAGACTAAATTCACTACTCTGAGAAAAAGGAAAAGAAACAAAACAGTCCTGAAAAGTAAAACATTATATATTCTGGTTTAGGCTGATGTCTAGGGGTCCCTGGTAGAAGACTGCACAGTTATTTCAGAATCGAGAATGTATACAGTGAAAGGTCCTGGAGATCGGAGGAAGTATGTTGACAAGTAACCTTAGGCCACACTTCATGGTAATTTCTTTTTTATGGTTTTTGGGTAGAATGTCTGACTGCTCATTACCACATCCTGTCATTCCCAGAGGCATTTTCATGTTTCTTCCTTCTCCCAGTTGCTCTGTTGTGCATGTGGTTGTGAACTCACGTGGATTGAAAATAATAACCCAGGGAAAAAAAGGAGTATGCAGCATGGGTCAGTTCATTAGCACAGTTAGTTCATTGTGCAGC